ATAAATCAATATTTAAAGTTACATAATGACGAAGGTGTAGAGATATTTCTAGAAAAAACCGGCAAATACACGAATTCCCAAAAATATAATCTTAAATCAAGTAAACTAGAACGAAAAAAAAACTGATGAAAACAAAATCCTATACACAATAACTAAGCAGTTGAATCAACACAATGAGTCTTTCAAAGAACATGAAGACGTTGTAATTGTACTAAAAAATATAAATCTCGAGCAAAACCAGAAACCTAATCAAGACACCTCCGAAAGATCTGAAGACACATCTAAAGGAAGCTTAACCAGCACCAAGAAAAACAAACGCATGGTCAAAATGGAACAAAGCAAATATACCACACTAACACAAGTTCTCCAAACAAACACAGAACCCGAGAAACCTAAGCTCAAGGTAAATATACATTGACCTATGTTGCGAAACGGCAAAGAAATTCAGCAACTCTTATACGCGGACACTCGCAAACCAGCCACAATTATCTATAGATTAAAAACGTATCACCTCCTCGCAAGAGAAAAAATGAAGATCAAATCCACCACTTCATCTTGAAATCAACCCCTATCCCCTTAAATTGCCTTAGGAGAGGCTAGTCGATGCCTTTCCACAACCAAATACCATTTAGACCCAAACCGGAGAGCAAAACAAACTTGTAAGTTTCATCATTATCATTGTTTCGTAATTGTTTTATTCAAATTCGTAATTTTTAACTTTTTTAAGTCAATTTCATTAGCAAAACAAACTTTTTTAACCCAATTTCATAATTTTTTATCACTGTTTTTTTTTTCAGCTTCTTTGAACATCTTCAATCGTGAGAGACTAACAAATTTTATATGAATATAATATAATTATTTTCTAATTAATTTTTAAGTTATATAAGAAATATAAACCAATCAAATAAAAAAATGTGATACGGGTTTCAGATTCTCTTTCTTCATTTTCAATATTTTCTTATTTTGTAGTGTGAAAATATAATGAGAAATATGCATTGGAGATGTTGTTACAACCAAATTTGTAAAACTACTAAAACTGATGATATTTTAATTTTAACATATTTTTCGTTTCAAAATGTGCANGTTCTAATTTATTATAAACATAAAATGTTAATTATTTTGCGAGGAATTCAATTTAGAAGCATAAAATGTGCAGGTTCTAATTTATTATAATCATATAATCATGTTAAAACAAACATCTCTGTTATTAACAGCCGAATCACATAAAAGGTTATAATTTTCTTCCTAGAAAACTATATATGAAGTCTAATCGTCTATAAACGCCGATGTTAAGTGTCAGCTACTC